CTTAGCTATGCTACCTTAATCCAGGGATAAACTAAACCCTGCCTCCCTAGGGAAATAATAGCAAACCCTTCAGAGTGGCTTCCGTAATATTTTTTGCTCAATTGAGCTTTTGATAGCAAGTAAGTTGGATATCCTCTGTCAGGTATCTAGAATGCAAGTATTTCAAGTTTCCAGTTATTTGGAGAGACACATGCTTTAAAAGGCAGCTGAGCCTGGGGTGAGATTGTCATCCCAAGAGACTTTACAAAAAAAAAAGAAAATGCGTGCTCCACAGAAGGCATCTCATGTCCACCCAGAGGTGAACAGACACAGATTCTTTTCAAAGAGCTTTGATCTAGCAAAACAGACCCAACAAAAAGTGCTTTAAGCCCATTATAAGCAACCCAAAATATATCACAGTGTGAAAAAAAATAACTAAATAACGTGTATTTGAAATCTAGCTGTGCTGGTAACTTAGCCCTGCATCTTTAGGCAAGAGTGTTAAGGTCTCTGGATTTCAGGTTGCTTTTTGGGAAAGGAGGAAGTATAAATTACCTTACATGAGCAACAAGTGCTACTGTTTATAGAAAAGTTTAATAAATTGTACGCTTTTATGTAGTTCTCCCTACTGATCACAACAGCAAAGAAGGAGAGGGAAAAAATGCCTTTCAGGAAACCAACTTTGTCTTGTGATCTTTGTCCTCAGAACGCATCCAGTATTTACCTCAATGTAATACTGATTGGACCTTCAAGAGGCTTTACAATTTCATTCATTGACCATTGCTGAGTTTCTAGTACTTAATTACTGCTTCTGCTGTTTTGTTGTTTTTTGTTTGTTGTTTGTTTGTTTATGGTTGGTCCTGGGGCTTGAACTCTGGGCCTGGGTGTTGTCCCTCAGCTCTTCAGCTCAAGGCTAGTGCTCTACCACTTGAACCACAACGACACTTCTAGACCACGATCCTCAGATCTCAGCCTCCTGAGTAGCTAGTATTACAGATGTGAGCTACCGGCATCTGGCTGGCTGCTAAGTTTTGATCTGTTTTATTTCCATATCATGGACAATTCACAGGGAGAACACTGTTTCCTTGAACAGCGTCAATGGCACATGACAGGAAGGAGTGCTATCCTTCGCTGCAAAATCTTGAATGAGATGCCTATTTTGTTTTATGTATTTTTATCCTCACTTTCTAAACACGAAAGAAATATGAATTTCCACATGCTGACCTTTGGCTCTGCACAGTTAAATCTTACCTCAGTCTTTCCTGGCCTGTATTTTTGCTCTGCAATGTTTCCAGTTTCAATCCCACAATCCTTTTTATATGGGAAAGCATATAAGAAGTTTTCATGATTATTTCTTCTTTGTGTTTCATGCCCTGTTATCAATTCCACTTCATTACTTTCCTATTCATTACATGCTTGCACCTCGCTGGGTTAATAAATTCTTTTGACACCTATTACTCCTCCTTCTCCCCCCCCCCCACCTTTCATTGCTGTCCCTCTTCCAAGAACTGTGCCCATCAATATTGCATGCCAGGGGTGTGTTAGAGAATACCCAACTCACAGCTCACTGTCCCAGCAGGGAGTGCCCTTCTCCCTTCTGTTCCAACTCAATGATGAGAGGACCCTCCCTCTTCCTGTCTTCAGGCACCGGCTGCTAACACCATACTGAGAGACAGATGTTTCCCATCCCCAACTATCTTGTAAGGGCCACTTGAAGTGGATTCCACTTTAGTCTCCTGCCATAAAAGTTTCGTGCTTACTTCTTAAGGTACACTTGTCACTGAAAGGTAAGAGTAGTGCTCAGGAAATTCAATCATTGTACTTTTCCTCTCCTGGTAGGAAAAGTAGAATTAAGCAATAAGAATGTCACTGCCAAAGGCAGATAGTGTACTTCTATCTATAACCCATGGAAAGTACAACTTCAGCAGTGTTATCAGAGAGTGAGTTTTAGACTGGAAAGAAGAAAGACATGCTGGGTCAAGAGAAAATGGAAAGCAAAGTGGCATAAAGAGAAGTAATGAGGTCTCAAGCTTCTGCCACTAACTTGATGATTTCAAATCAAGTATATTGCCAAGCCCTTAGAAAACACTAGATCTAATAAAGACAACTCGTTATTCAAAGTAGAAGTGATGCTGAAAGACCAAAAGTAGGTACAGCTTGTTGTCAGTTTCTCAATATAAGGAAAGCAAAGACATAGGCTGATAAGTATAACCAATGATAGTCAAGGCTTACTAAGGGTAATAATTACCAATCTTAATTGATTCTTACAGGTGATAATAGACCTCAGCTGTTAAAGCTGTAAAAATTGGCCCTGCTTATGAGCTATCAGGTTGGCTACCACAGTATTTTGGGAGCTGATAAAAGACATGAGACTCGGGTGAGAGACACAGCCAGTTTATTAGTCACAGCAATGGTAGTACCAAGAAAGTATCATTTTTATCAGGTTTCCTGAGTTGGGATTCCCAAAGGATGATGCAAAGGTCAGATGACACCTAGAAACTTAACAGCTACACTCTCTGAGCTTAGAAAACCTTAGTCTTTTACAATTAGAAGTAGCCACGACTGCCATTTGTTCCAGAGGCAGGCACTATCTGTATCTCCTAAAGCAGTGACTACCCAGAAGCTTTGAAAATAGTCAAGAACATGCAGTAACATGAGAAATCCATGGGGAATTGACTCCCAACAATGCTAAGGAAAATAATAGCTAATATCCTGCATTGAGTGTTAAATGTTGGTAAGCTATAGATACAAATTGACTTCTTCAGATATAATAAATAATATATAAACTATACAGACTGGAGAAAAATCCATTTCAAGTAGCCATTGTAATTATAAAGGAACTTAATACGACCCTTTTAATATCTATGTGAACAAAATGCAAGGATATCGACTGGACAATGTATATTTTAATGGGTTTGTATTTTGATGCAAGTGCATAACTGAGAAATATTGATGTTAGAAGGGAGAGAGGTATTAACTGTTGTCCTTGAGAAGGTCACTGGCTTATTCTGTGTCACAGCATTATCAGTGGTTGTAATGAGGACATAGCGTATATATGAAGGATAAAAGACTAGGAGAGAGAACCAATATTTAGAGAAAAGAGCGTTAGAAATTTACTCTGACTGACATGTTCTACAGTAATGCCTCAGTACAACTACATAAAGGTAGTAAAAATATAATTTTAGAAAAATCACTGGATCTTTTAAGGTAAAATTTGAAAGGCAAATACAAAAGTTTGTAACTGGGTTCAAAACTCATCACTATAAACAGAACTACATGAACTTAACCTATGAGCCTCTTGTTAGGAATAGAAAGGTTTAAGCTAAAAAATTACTTTTCTGAGGACCTTCTTCACCTTCTTTAACAATCCTCTCTCCATCATGCCTCTAACTAGAGCCTGATAAGTAGTATTTATAAGGACTTTCTTGGTTAAGAATACACTAAGGCAATAAGCTACCATGGGATGAATATATCTATTCTAATCAAAGAAAATGGTAGTCTCCCCTGACCAGGCTTATACAATCTAGTTGAATATTAGATTCATTTTGAGATATCTAGGTTAATGGGAACACTGAAATGTTGACAATCTGCATATGAAAACGTTGGAGCAAATACAAGAAAAGTTCTGGACACCGTGTTTTTCCAGTTGGCACTGCGTAAAAATAAAGAGATGCGTTCTGTAAGAGAGAAGATTTTGGAGAGATCGTGACAGTTTTCAAATGCATGAAATAAAATGAGCGAAATGCGGGTCACAGAGCTATGGAGAAGATCTGAGCAAGGCAGATTGTACTCATTCTACTAGGGATATTTTTGGTCATTTGAGTTGAGCGAGTAACGTTTTGATAGCAGTAGATCGTAATTGGAGATGTGTTTAAAGCACTAATTATATGTTTTCCCAAGGCTCTTTCTGTATGTGAAGCAGCATTCAATGGTCCCTTAGGATTCGTCTAAAATTCTCTAAAGTTCATGACTTCCACAGCTATGCCACGCTGATAGGCAGCGAGAGGTTTTTTGTTTTTGTTTTTTGTTTTTCCCAGTCCTGGGGCTTGAACGCAGGGCCTATACTCTGTCTCTGAGCGTCTTTGCTGAAGGCTAGCACTCTACCACTAGAGCCACAGCGCCACTTCCAGCTTTTTCTGTGTATGTGGTACTGAGGAATTGAACCTAGGGCTTCGTGCATGCAAGGCAAGCACTCTACCACTGAGTCACCTTCCCAACTGCAGCTTGAGATTTTTAAGTGCAATCTGCTCTATACGTTTGGGATAATGTCTTCATACATCATTTGATAAATGTGATTAAATAAGCCATTTATTTGTTGCTTCTTAGTGAAAAAACAATACTGAAGAAGTATTGAAAAAATAAGAAATAAATAATGTGGATTTTAAGGTTCTTTCTCTCCCAAGTCTCTTAGTAAGACATGTATGAGTAAAGAGATCTGATTTTAATGTGTTATTGAAGTGCAGTTATATATCCTTTCTGGTCATACTTAAAGGAAGCAATCTGCTATACTAGCCTGAATTATTCCTGAAAAGTCATTCGGACTAAGTTTAGCTCTTGGGTGTCCTCATTCTGAAGTGAAGTTTTTGAAGTATTTTTCAAGTTAGGCTCTGGAAACACTAAAGTGTTTAAAACCCTGTGAGGCCAAGGGTAAGTATCAGAAAAGCTCGTTATGTAACTTCATAAAGACTCTATCCGTTCCTGTTCCATCTTGAAAGTATTGGTACATGAGTTCAGAGGAAACTACCAGGGACAGACCTGCATCTGGGGTAGGAGATCAAAGGCATGCTGGCAATTTCACTGTTATCATAAAGACCTTCAGTCTTACAAGATCAAAATCTTAGCATAAAAAGCTTGGCTTCGATTTTTTTTTCCCCTACCTCAACCCCCTCTCCAAACAAAGGTCTAAGAGAAGAAAAATGCCTTGAACTATCTGTACAGCTGTAGCTCTCAGATCCCGATGAGTCCATCCTACATAAAAATTATGGAAATGTCACTGATGTAGCCCTCGGCTCTCCCACCAGGCCGCCCATGGAAGACTCTCAGACGCTCTTGACCCCGGTGGTGAGCTGTGGGCCTCCCGGAGCCCTGCTGACTCGACCTGTGGTCCTCACTCTCCACCACTGTGCAGATCCCAACACCGAGGACTGGAAGATCGAGCTCAAGAACCAGACAGCACAGGGACAGTGGGAGGTGAGGGGCTTCTGTGGCGATGGAGATGGAATCTGTACAGATAACCAGGGCAACTATGGGAAGCCTGCACTGCAAAAACCATCTGTGGGGGGAAAGTTAGGTCCCACTAGTGTCTCTGGGCAACAGAATGGTTTCTAGGGTTTTTTAAAATCTATTCTAACATATTGTCTATTCTAATGCATAGGCACCATTTAAAGGATGGTCAAGTATTAGCCAATTCATAGGGAAAGTCTTATATGAGTACCTTTTGCACTGTAGAGACTGTATTGGGAAAACATGCATACATATACACACACACACACATAGAGAGAGAGTGTGTGTGTGTGTATACCAAATACATATGCTATATAATGTATCTATGCTTTCTTTTCAATTGCACCCAAGTCAGAAATGTTAGACACTTACTTATAGACATGTACTTAGGCTATAGTTCTTGTGAAGTCAACCTGAAAAAACAGAAATGATGCATCTCCGGAGGTCCACTAGAATGAGCGTATGGCATCTTCTCTTCCTAGGTACAATGTCATCATTAGTTCTTAAGGACAATGCCTGTCCTTTACATCCCAAACCTTCATTTAGCATCTGTGTCACAGGAGCTTGCCTAGCAAGCTGAAATATATATTTATACTTATGTAAGATTTTATACAAATATAAAGCATTTGTGTAAAAATGTATATAACTATAGACCATATTTATAGCCAATTGTATATAAATATAAAACATTTGATGTAACTATAAAACATGCAAAATTTTACACAGGCAAAATAACTTAGTTTTTAGATTACGTAAGAAATTTTAAAGAGTAAATGTCCGAATTCCCTGAAACTTATTTTAATAAGCTCAAGTTTAACTGTTATGGAAAGGGTTATTGAAAGATGGCTTTGGTATTTTCATAGACATTCCAGTAATGCAGATACTCAGACCAAACCAAGTAAAGGATATCTACACAAAGAACATTATCAGGATGTGGGGGATGGGAATGGGAATGGAAATTGAACCCGAGAAAGGAATCAGAGGAGGAGAGAGAATTACCAGATGGAGAAAGAAATCCCATTCTCTCCACTACTAGCCCGTGGCCCCTTCCCCTTTGTGTCCTAGGATGTGGTTGCGGTTGGAGAGGAAAACTTTACTACCCCCTGCTACATTCAACTGGATGCAGAGGCCTGCCACATCCTCACAGAGAACCTCAGCACCTACGCGCTGGTTGGGCATTCTGTCACCAAAGCGGCTGCCAAGCGTCTGAAGCTAGCCATCTTTGGACCCCTCTGCTGCTCCTCCCTGGAATACAGCATCCGAGTGTACTGTCTGGATGACACACAGGATGCCCTAAAGGTAAGTGGGTTCTACCTGCCCCGCCTCTTCTTCATGTCCACCTGGAAACCAAGGTTTGCTGCAACTGTGTACACCGGCCATGGGCCTGTGCCTGTGAACCCAAGTGCATGAACATGTGCATTCTATTCTTTAAGGATGCAGGTATAAAAATAGACATAGCTCCGAGGCCAGGCTGATCAACGAGCTATTTCTTTCATGCGAATTCTTCCCAAGAGGTACTTTCTGTTTATCTTCCTTGATTTCTTTTAATGAAAAATGTAGGAGAATTTGGCAACGAGACCCGTGGATGGTAAATAATCTGCTTCCATGTTTATCTCAGCTGTGTTCTTCCTATAAAAGAAATTGGCATAATTGCTCACGCTATATGTTCCTCTTGTGTGCCACTTCATTTATATGCTTTCCCATTCTCTTTACGAGGGCTGTGAGGGAGAGGGTGAGCGTTTGACAACAGGCTGCTGCTTGGAAGAATAAATGAGCTTAATTCCTAGCGTGATTATTGCCATTCATTTTATCCCATTTGAAGCTTTAAGGGATCTAGTAAGTGCCTTTGAAGAAGTTATGGTCTAGACGGAGGAATAAAAGTAGTAAGCTAAAGATGAGGAGATAAGTCAATGGATGATAAATGCCACGGCTGAGATGCTAAGTTCTACAGAAGTTCAGCAGAGCAGGCAGCATACTATTTTGAGGAAATGTGAGCAGGAGCTCATAGTTGAGACTGGCCCCATTGGAAGGTAAGAGTTTGACCAGCAATAATGAGGGAAACAGGAGGATTTCTAGGTAGAAGAAAGAGTGTGAAAACCTCCAAGGGTGAACAGTAAATAATCCTGCTAGGCAGGAACATTATTTCAGGAATCTGAGTTTCCTTTGATTGGAATAGACCTTCATGATCAGAGAGAGGAGTTCAAATTCCATCTGTTGACTTAACTTAGATGAAAGAGATTCGAACAGAAGAAAGACATGATTGGAAACATACATTAGTCTGATCAGAGTAAAAAGCGTAGTGCCAATAAGAAGAGCATCATGGAGCTGGGTTCTAGGTAGAGGATCAAATAGGTACAAAAGTGGTCTTTGCTGCTCCTGGTCATTAAATTCAATGGGAGGGGCAGAAAATCAAATTTGTGTCTCTGACCAACAGAGCAATCTCAGGAGGAAAGTGGCTTGGGAGTATCTCTCTTAAACTAGGTCAGGTTCCTATAGACAAGAAGTTCTATAAACTAGATGGTTTAAACAGCAGCTGACTCTTGGTCATAGTCCGAGGGGTTGGGAGTCGACCTCAGGGTGCTAGCATCCTGCCAGTTTCTCACTCGTTGCTATGTTGCATGGTGGGGAGATGGCAGAGAGCTCTCGGGATACTTATGTGACTCTCAGTCCAAGTCCCACTTTCACATTCCAGTCTCCTCACAAAGACCCCAGCTCTTGACATCATTGCACTGAGGTTTTGGATGAATTTGAAGGACACAACACTTAGCAGTGCCTTTTTTGAATACTGAATTAGGGGTATTTGACATCCAAATATATACAAGGAACTATTAGAAAAAATGGCTGGGACAGTCAAGTGTTCCATGGCTCACACCTGGTTATTTGGTTACTTGGGAGGCTGAGAAGGGAGGATGGCAGTTCAAGGCCAATATGACCTTGAAAAGCTTGTGGCTAGAAAAGTTTGTGAGACCCTCTTCTCAGCCAATAGCAGAACACATGTGATGTACAGCTATGTGGAAGGTTGAGACTGTTTGCCCTGATGTCCTGTGCCTGTCATTCCAGCTACTACAGGAAAGGATAGGTAATATTGGCAGATCATGACACAGGCATGCAAGATCCTACCTCCAAAATAACCAGCACACAAAGGGCTAGAGGCATGTCTCAACAGTACAGCATCTGCCTCTCAAGTACAAGGCTCTGAGTTCAACCCTAGTACTGCTCCCCCCCCCAAAAAAATATATTAAAAAATGAATGTGTAAGAGTAGCTTTGTCCCTGCTGACCAGTCGCACTCCCCTCCCTACTACCCCCTTTCTTGCTTCTGATAACAATTCTTCTATTCTTGTCTCCTGTGAGAGCAACTTCTTTCCGTTGTACATATGATTGATCAAACTGTGTTTGTGTTTCTGCACCTGACATCAAATTTGATACTAACTGAATCATCACCCTGTGAGATAGCATTAGCCCCAGTTGAGTGAAGTACAAGCTGAAGGGCAGACATTTAAGTAAGTTGTTCCACATCACACAGCTATGAATTGGAGAGAGCAGGAGTTGTGCTCCAGCAGTCTGCTACAGTTGAGCCATCAAATTGAGACAGTCAAAGAGCCAGATCTTCAATGACAGAGACCACGTAGAATTCACCATCACAGAGAAGAGGAGGAGCAGCCAGTATAGGAGCTAATGGAAGTTCTACACACACGTTGGAGAGAGAAAAAGAGTCAAGGAGGCTGAGAGGAATTTTTTTCTATCAGAGTATTTCCTTCTTAGGCTTCCATCCAGAGTATTTCTGTCATATTGAAAGCTGGAACCCCTGAGGAGCTGACCCAAGATTTCTAAGGGACATGAATGTTAGCAGTAAAGCAAGTGAGGAGCCAGTGACATCATCCACTCTTTATGGTGGGTGTGGCCAGCCTGGACTCAGGTGAGACCTCATTGGTCACTGAACATATTCTGATGTTCAGGTCTGTAGGGTGTTCTGATGTAGACTAAATGATGTAAACACACGGCTCTGGTTAAATCTTTTATGCTGTTTGCAAACTGGACACCTCTAAAGCATTGTCAGATTAGAAAACAGTTGAGGCTTCTTAGGGGAAACTGTGTTTGTAGAAAAGTCATAAGGTCAGGTTGAGGCAGGTATTTGGAACCTTTACAAGGGGGAAAAAAAAGTCATTGCACAAAGCATACCCTAGAAGACTTATGTGATATATGGAATGTTTTACTACATATATTTTATATTTATACACTCAGGAAGTCTTGATCTGTCCTCCCAACAGACACACCCAGAGATCTATTAAAAATGTGATTATTTTATAAGATATTTTTTGATGAAGCTAATTAACAAGACAGATATACACATGGTGAAAACAATTCAAGAGTAGTTGTTATCGTGGTCAGTACTTTCCAGAGACACATTTTATAAATTCTCAGCATCTGGGATCCAGCACTTAGCCTGAAACAACCATGAATAAGAAATGAAGCTTTCCTACACCTCATGGCCTTTTCAATAATACAGAAATACCAAAACCCTAGTAATAAGTAACTGATCTGTGCCACACACTGAAGAGACCATTAGTTCAACATCAACAGGATCTCACCCACATGTGAATGGAACCTTGGGGCTGATTAGCTCAAGATGGCCTTTTCGTACCAGAACTTGCCTTGCCACCCTGCCTGCTAATGCTCATTGCCCAGGTCTCTCACCGATACATGCTATTTTTCATCACCTCTCTTAACCCTCCCTCTTCCTTTTCCCCAGGCCTTCCCCATTCTTGTCCCATGTTCTTCATTAATCACCAGGTCTTTAAGACTTGCTTCAGGGTCCAATTGCAAAACTCTGCTTGCATCCTCCAAGGTAGCCAGACTTGTAGGTGTGAGCCACAGGTACCTAGTTTCCATTTCAATTTCCCAAGCACACCCTATCTGACTGGGCCTGACTCACATTCTTTCTTCCCATCTATTTTATCCCAGTCATGGTACTATCAGCTTCAGTGTCACCACCTGAATCACAGTCCCTCAGCCAAGACGTATTCTAGTAGCCTTCCCATTACCCCCCCCCAACATTATCTACGTCTATCTCATCCTGCAGTGTCGATGAGCTCTATCAGTCACTGCTCCATTGCCAAGGCTTACGGCTGGGACTACAGCCCTCCACCTTATCGACCACCCCTACCTAACCTCCCATTTCTGTTATGCTCCTTCAACCCTTTCTCTTCTGACTATAAACCCTCTTCTGTGCTTACTCTCACATATAAGGAACTCAATTATCCCCCAAATCTCCAATTATCTTGAGCTTCAAATCTCCTGTCATCTTGAGCTGCAAGAAGCTTTGCTAATATTCATGGCCAATAATGACCTCAAATGAACAAACTTTGTACTTTTAGTTCCAGCCTAGGAAAGAAAATATGTATTTTTAATTGATTCTATTCTACTCTAAAAGGTAACAGAACTAAAACAACGCCTCCCCAGTTTCTCTACAGTCTTTTTATGTAGCTCGTCCTGGCTCATTGGCTCTCATACACAGTTGTTCTGAGTATGTTGCACTGCCCCTCAATCCTTGGTGGGTCTACTCCACGCTTAGCACTACGCTCACCGCCCAGTGGAAACTCCTTTAGCCATGTGCTTTACACCTCCAAATCTGACTGCAATCTCTTCTCACTATGTCTAGACTCGGTTAGAAAGGAGCTCTACTGTTGCTGGTGCTTTAACCCAATTCCTTACCATGTAGTTTAATCCAATTACTAGCAACTCCAATACTTTGGACAAATGATATCCAAAGTTAGATTTCCCAGGGTTGAATTTTCTTAAAGTGACAGCTATGCTGGAGATTCTTTTGGAATTGTAGGGGGGAAAATTTCCCTCACTGCTATGTAGATATTACATCCTATGCAAACAGGTGCTATCCTGGGTCACCCTCTCATAGAATATAACTATGGGATACTTGAGCTGATAGAGGTGGCCTACTGTCTACAACAGAAGGCACTGAGGATATTATCACTTTTAATTATCATGTATATGGATGTGTTTCAGTCTGTCTCAAGCAACTCCAAAAGACGTTCTTTCATCTGGCCACCTACCTCTTTGAGTAGAAGTCTTTTGCACAGTTTCCAGGAGGGTTTTTGCTTTCTACATGTTTGAAGAACCAGAGGGAGAAATGCTCCAGTTGAGTCTGCATAAAGAGATAAAAGTGCTAAAGATTGTTTAGGATAGGTTAGAATCATCTTAAATAAAGAGGTCAAGTCTATTGAAAAGTTTGTGTTTTGGTCTATCCGAGTGTTTCTTTTTCCTTTCTCCTCAGGTGATTAAA